AGAAGCTTTAAGTAACTTTCCCGCCTATTATATTAATATCTACTAAATGTTATTTGACTTTTGGTCGAAAAAAATGATCTAGATATTTGGTTAGGTGAAAAAAAGCAACCCTAACTTTAAGGCGTCTTTAAAAAAAACGATCCATATTTTGGGTCGGATTGAATAAAACGACCCGATGTTTGAGTCTAAGTCAGAAAAATCACCCAAACTTTGAGTTGGAGTCGAAAAATACGATCTAAACTTCAAGTTCGAAAAATACGACCCAAATTTTGAGTCGGAGTCGTAAAAAACGATCCATATTTTGGGTCGAGGTCGTTTTTTCGGCTTGGACTTGGGTCGGAGTCGAAAAAAACGACCCATACTTTGGGTCGAAGTCGTTTTTTTTGGCTTGAACTCGGGTCGAAGTCGTAAAAAACGACCAAAACTTTGAGTTGGAGTCGAAAAACGACCAAAATTTTGGATGAGCTCTGTTCGAGCCAACTAGGCTAAGCCGATTAACAACACTACTTGCGTATATAAATATTTTATTTATATATATATTGTATCTTATTTATTGTATTATGTTAAAAAGTTATTTTATGTTTACAAAATAAATAAATATTGTGTAATACAAAGAATTATTTTAAAGAAAATATAATCGTTCCTCGTTTTAGAATCATAAAGATTTCAAAACCCCTATTTTTTTTAAATAAAATTCTGTATTAGTATATTGGATTCGAACTTTAATATCATCATTTTCTTTTGTAGAAAATTGAGTAAAATTTAACAAAAAAATAAAATTATACCTAAAACGAATTATTCACTATTCGATTTTATTTCATAAGATTCGTATTTTATGAATAAAAAAATTATTTGATTCGAATCGAATAAAGAAAATATATTATCTGTGGAATATTTTTTTTATCTATTTATTATTCGATCGAATTATTCTTATTATTTGAAATAATTTATAAATATTAGAAATTATTCGTAATTAAATATTCCAAATTATTTGTTAATATTTCAAATTATTCAGAAATATTCAAACCCAGAAATATTTGACATGATTCTTAATTATTTAAAAGTTCCTTGAAAAGTTTTTACTTTTTTTTCAACATCTATAAATCACTTATTAAATTTTAATATCCTTTTTGAATATATTTTTGAAGAATTTAATTTTTGGCATCGAATATTCGATGAATCAAATCCAATAATGTTTTCATTATTCGAACGGATACGAATAAGGAATTATTTAATTCGTACTAATACGAATAATATAATTATTCGATTCGAAAACACGAATTATGTAAATATTTGATTTGATTCGTATTTTTGTAGGAGATTCAAAGAATTTTTTATTTTTTTATGTAAAAAATTTTAAATAAGAATATTAAATTTAAAAACTTTTTATTTGTTGAGTTAGCAGAAGAAATAAATTGTGTCCTAAATAAGAGTCTTCTTGAAAATTAAAAAATATTAGATAACTTTTTAGCTAAGTTCTATATCTCTTTTAAATTATTTAGGAATAATTTTGATCAAATAAATTTATGCTCGAATTTAAGCTCTTCGCGAAAATTAGGTATTAATAATAAATTTTTAGCTGTTTTATATTAGCATTGTTGAACGGCCCAATTAAGATTATAACCAAAATTATATTTAGTAAGCCTGTAGATTTTACACATATATGGCAGAAAGGTTTTTACCTCTATTTGCCAAATCTCCAATCTTGCATAATATTAATTTGGCCAAAATCTTAATCAGGCCGTCCAAAATATCACTATTTTATATATCTCTTATATTATTCAAGAATTTGCTGATCAGACCATAATTACTTCTTAGATTTATTAATGTTTGAATCTTTGAATTATAGAAAAGCTTTTTTTTAAATAAACAATATTATAAAAAAATAATACAATAGCAACAACCAAAAAATGATTTCTATACCTAAAAAATAAATTCTCATCATGTACATAAAAAAATTTATAAACAAAAAATAAAATATTATTTGAAAAAAAACATGATCAAACTTAGTCTGTTTATAAAATAAATAAAATAAAAAATGTATCAGACAGGACTTTGCAAAAAAAATAATTATATAAAATAGTTAAAATTAAATTTTATCCACGCCTTTATTTCATTTTTTCTGGAATTATTTAGAAGGGTAAATAAATGAGAAAGCCGTTTATTTTAGCTCGCAATAACACCTGGTTCTTGAGATATAGGGGCTCAAATCTGTAAAATTTTTAAAATGCTTATATCTCAAAAACTAATTATATATCATATTGTAAGTAAAAATATTCTCTAAAGGGCTATCAAAAAATAATAAAAATTGGCGCCAAATTGAGTCTTTAACATTCGGTTTACCTATAATGCTTTAGCTGTATTTTTAAGCAAAAAAGGGAGTTTGTTTTTAATGATATAATAAAATATATATTTATTAAATAATGTGAACAGGATTTCCATTAGTATTGTTAAACGGCTCTTTTTGAGCCGATTTTTAAAAAAGGCTCAATCAATATTTTAACCAGAAAACAAATGTCTAAGCATCGAGTTTTCGATAATAGATGTCTAAACCTTTGTGCCATCTATCCGGATCTGGACCTTGGGTCTGAACGCCGGGTCTATGCTCGGAATTCGTGCTCAGAGCAGGTTTTGTCGATATTTTAGATCCAAACACCGGGTCTGGGCTCTAGACAACCAACCAATTAACAACACTACTTATGCAGGCAAAAATAATTTTATATGTAAATAGGAAAATATCAAGTGCAGAAAAGGCTAATATGTAATATTAAAGAACTTTTCATTCACTTTAGAGAGACTCATAACGATATACAGTTAGGTCTGAGTAGATTTGCTTTCTTACGACCTAAAAACTGTGTTTTAGCAGGTGGTCCAGGTACACATACCATGTGTATCTGCACATTACATTAAAATTTTAAGCTTATTTTAATAGGTGGAAAATTAAAACAGCTAACAAACAATATTGGTTATTATAATTATCCTGTGTAAAAACAGAACAAATGAATTAATTAATAATAACTAATTTGAAATATTCGTCCTTTAGTCGACTCAATTATATATTTCGTATTCATGGTCAAGTTGAAAGTCTAAAGTAAATAAATGTAAAAAATAGATCACAAATATCTTAATTAATAAAATTTGAAATATTCGTCCTCTAGTCGACTCACGTCCATATCATATAAGTATAACTATTCGTCCTCTAGTCGACTCAAATATATATTTTGTATTCATAACTCAAGTTGGAAGTCTAAAGTAAATAAATGTAAAAAACAGAACAAATATCTTAATAAATAAAAACTAATTTGAAATATTCGTCCTCTAGTCGACTCAAGTTCATAGAAAACTATTTGTCCTCTAGTCGACTCAAGTATATAATTCCTATTTGCAACTCAAGTTGGAAGTCTAAAATAAAAAAAAAGTAATGAACAACAAATATCTTAATTAATAATAACTAATTTGAAATATTCGTCTTCTAGTTGACTAAAGTATACAATTCCTATTTAAATCTCAAGTTGGAAGTCTAAGATAAAAAAATGTAAAAAACAGAACAAATCTTAATTATTAATAATTAATTTGAAATATTCGTCCTCTAGTCGACTCAAGTATATAGACTTGAGTTCACGACTTGTTCACGACTTGAGTTCACGACATGAGTCGACTTGAGTTCACGACTTGAGTTCACGACTTGAGTCGACTTGAGTTCACGACTTGAGTCGACTTGAGTTCACGACTTGAGTCGACTTGAGTTCACGACTTGAGTCGACTTGAGTTCACGACTTGAGTCGACTTGAGTTCACGATTGATTCGACTTGAGTTCACGACTTGAGTTCACGACTTGAGTCGACTTGAGTTCACGACTTGATTCGACTTGAGTTCACGACTCGAATTCATAATTCAAGTCAGTTTGGGTCGATTTTTTCGACCCAAAACTTAGACTCAGTCGATTAACAACACTAAAATATATAGTTACGAGAGTATAATGTAATTTTATCCAATTAATAAAGTGTTAATAAATTCAAATTTAGCGTATATTTTTTACTTTCTTACAGTTAATAATCATTGGGAAATATCGAATGGAGCGGCTAAACCAAAAACTGAAAATGGATAAGGGTGAGCTCAATATTGGAGCAATCTATGTATATAGTTGTAATCAACACCGGTGGAATCTATGGATGAAGCAGTCGATCAATATTGTTATTCTTGACTCAGGCGCGATTTATATTACGTGGGGGATCTACAACTGGAGGAAACTCACGGAACTAAATAGCCAATGCTATTAATGTTAGTGATAGAGCTCGAAACTTAGAAAGAACAATAATTATATGAAGCTACCAGTGGTAGTAACCGTCTTATGGGATGGAAGTTATAGTAATGAGTAGGGATAAGGGGAGTGTGACATTTGATTTCAGTGTGATTTATATTCCTTATATTAGAATATTAATTTTGTTTGTTCATGTCATATAATATAACTACTTCTGTCAATTCATTCATTTATTTATGTTGATAAATATTTTTTGATTATCATGCGTAGTCATTTGTGTTTTTAAAAATCCCAATTTAGGTAAATTTTTAAAAACGGTTCGATTAAGATTTTAGCCAAAATATTATTATGTAAGGCTCGAGATTTGGCAAATAGACCTTTTTTTATTTGATAAAACATTTTAGGATCTTTTATTTTACAATTATTTTAAAATTATGTGATTTATTACAATCATTGAGAAAATATAAATTAATAAAATAAAAAGGTAAAAGGTAAAAGAAATGATTGTATTGAATATATATATAAGTAAAAGAATACCATTAATTTACAATAAGGGTAACCGGAGCGATGGCCTTTAATGTCTATGTGTTAAAAAACATGAAGTATATAAAGACAATTAAATAATATAATTTTACAATTTAAAAAGATATTTAATATATAAATAAAAACTATAAAAATGAAATTAAATAAAATATTGCATAATGCAAAATAGTTAATAATCAATCCTATAAAAATGGATTTAAAAAATTTAAAAAATCAAGATTTTAAAAAGATAAAATTCAAACGCAAAAGACTATCATTTTTTGACATTTCTTTTACAATTCATAAATTTCACAAAAGTCCCATTACTTTATTGCATAATATAAGGTATATTTATCGTATAATTTAATTTAATTTACTAATAGTGGGTATTTTGATATTGGAATTAATGCTATAATGGGACCAAGTGGGTCAGGAAAAACTTCGTAACATATTAATCAAATTTGTTAAGGCATTATAATTTTATAGATTAATAAATTGCTTAGCTTTTAGAAGCACTGTTGCAGGAAAACTGACTGGGAATATATATATAGATGATAAACCTTTGAATAACAATTTTAAATATGAATCTGGTTATGTTGTTCAAGTATATAATTTTAATTAAATATAATTTTATTAATTTTAGGAAAATATTTTGGTTAGCACTCTTACTATTAAAGAAAATATTATGTTTTCTGCATCATTACGGTTGCCATCATATCTAGATAATAATTATAAAAAACACTTGGTTGATGAGGTGATATCAGAATTAAAATTAAAAAAATGTGCAAATTTAAAGGTTTATTAAGTTTATAGATATATAACATATATTTGATAAAAAAGAAATACTTGTAATTTAAATGTTTAATATGCTCTTATTTATTAATTTTGGGAGTTTATAATGTATTTTGATCTTGATTTAATAATTTTTTAAATTGTAATTTTTTACTATATTCTGCTTTATCGTAATTATATTTAAAATATGAGTTCTATATTATGTGTAGCATTGCCCAGCCTAAACTAGCTCATGGAAATTTTTTTAAATTATTTTTTAACTGGTCCAAGCTCATGAAATAATTTAAAAAAAAATTTTTAATAAAAAAGGCACAAATATGTTATTCTTAGTTTAAAATTTTTTTTGAACTTCTGGCCTGTAAAAATATTTTTTTTGTAATTTATCCAGCCTAGCCTGAAAATATTTCTATGCTCCTTGTTGGTTTGAATTCAGGTTGGGTTATATTGGCCATTCTAAAAATAAATTAAAAATTTTTTGCAGGACTTAATTTTTAGTATCATATTTAGCTTGCATTAATATACATATAATATTATAAAGATACTAGGATTATTTATTGGGTCATACTTATATTATTTGTTAGTATCATGGCCAATACCTTCAATTTTGACTGATACTCAAAAATGAAAACTAACCTTCATAAATATGTATTATTTAAAACTACCTCAGTAGTGATTGGGGGGGGGGATGCAGGGTTCTGAAAAATTTAAAGAGCCCCTCAAAATTTTAAAATTTTTTTATACCACTAAAAAAAATAATTTAGGATAATGTTAGCTTTAAAAAGGTTAATTTTGGATAATGTTAGCTAAAAAGGTAATTTTGAAAATAATTTATTTTTTGGGCCCCCTGAGATTGTAATGGCGAGTGACACCCATGGCCTACCTACATTATGCATTTTCTCGTTCTGTCAAAAATATATTCCATTTCCGTTTCATTTTGAATTTCAGAATGTTTTAATGGTAAATATTAAATTTTTATTTTATTGCAAATTTTATTTATTATAAAAAAAATTATTACATCTTAAAGAAAAATATTTTTCAACTCTAATTTGATAACAGAATTGTTTGTCTATATTAAAAACTTTTGCTATTATATCATTTTTAAAGATTATATAATTCTAAATTAGATTTTCAAAAGTTTTACGATCTTAATTAAACATTACATAATACTAAGCGGACAATAGTATTATTATGTGAAGCAAACTAATCTAAAAAAATCAATTATGAGCTATTATAAAATGAAAATTAACCAATCATTTAAAAAATTCAAAGTTCCGTTTGAAGTCTCTGATTTATACGAATAGTAAACCACTTCAAATGAATTGAATATAAATAATGTACTTATTCGATTCGTTTTTGAATAGGCCTATAGTCCAACTTTTACTATAATTTATATATATATTTCTAAATCGTTAAAGGGGCTATTTCTTTTAATTTAATTTACTTTTATAAATATAAAATTTTTTATTTTCAAATGCAATGTTAAAGAATTACAATAAGATTTTGATTATAAATATTGAAAAATATTTATATCTAAAAATATTTACCATATCTAGACTTATGCGACGTTAGCTTATTTAGCGGCGATGGTTTTTTAATTCGGTGATCATCGATGCCGAATTATCTTCCGCCTAATGTATTGGCGGTGGTGCCGACAGCGATACATATTTTAAAATATGTTATTATAATTCATTGTATTACATTTTTTTATAATTTACTTGGGCACTCTTAATTCCAAGATTGTTGGTATAAATTAATTCTTAAATCCTTTCCTGTCCCACATTTTAATTGATTTGCATATTTTTCATTTTCGAAATAGACTAAGGAATTTTATTTTTACTTCAGTCACGTATCACATCAGCAATATTCTATCGTTTTTTTTAAATTAAATTAGTATAAAAATTTGGAATGAACAAAATATAAAGTAAGAAATTTAAATAAATTAGAAATTAAATTAAGTTAAATTATAATTGTCCTAATAAATATTATTTTCTGGAGAATTGTGAGGCATAGCTAGCTTCTTTTAAAATTGAGTAATAATCCACCGATATAAAAGGATATTATTTCGTTAAATATACTGGTTACAGCTATATAAAGTACTTCCCCAGCTAAATTAGCAATTCCAGGAAGTTCCAGTTGCTTTTTCAAAAGGCATCCTATTCTGGTATATTATGTTGGCCGATTAAATTTGGCATTTTTGCTCTAGATTGCTAGTGTTGCTATAATCTTTCTAGGAAGTACATGTTTATGAGCTATTTTTGCTATATACAAATTTGATGTTTTACCATTAATCCTCAATTTGGATCTCACCCTGCATTTCCATGTTGCTCTATAAGTTTTAAATATCTAATTAAAAATTGCAAGAATTTGAATTTAAATATTCTGAAACAATTTAAAGGATCAAGTAATGTGATTGATATCTATGCCCATAATATTTTAAATAAATTTTTATTAATGAAAATATTAAATAAAAAAATTATTTTATAAAATATAATACATACAGTTAGGTAATACCTAACATCAAGCTTTTTTGCTTTTCTTCTATACAAATGATATCTGAGCCAGATTCATTGATTTGCATATATGTTTCTATTTCACTATATGAAATAAACTTAAATTAACTCTCTATCCCTTTTGAAGAAATTCCACAGACTCTCTGAATGGATTTAGTAGATGCGAATATTTCTTTAACTAGATCCCGTTTGTTATTGAAAAGTTTTAATGATTGTTTCCCTATTTTATATAACATATTATTTATAGGACTCTTGTTGACACGGATACTTTCTGGCATATTTAATATTTTCTACCAACGTGTAGAGCAATTTAATTTTAAGGTTTTAATATTAATTCGATCTGGGCATTTTACATATTAAATTATTATTTTTTTGAATTTGAATATTAAAATCAATAAAATATGAATTGCATTGGTAAACATTTTTAGAAATTTACACTCCTCGCCGCCACCATATAAAAATCGCCAGCCACCCTGGCTACACGACTCATCTTAGGCGGCTTTCCCGTGTAGACGGCGGCGCACACGTATAACCACACCTATAAAAAATAAAAAAATATTTAGAAAGAAATAGAAAACTATAAATGATTTTAGGGTTTGAGGTACAAATGATCACACATGTCTGAAACTACTGTAACGAACAATAGATTATTTAGGTGGCTATATTTATTTGTCTATGTTTTTTTTGTTTTCATTATGGTTTTAACAGAAAAGGATATGGCAAAACGATCTGCACATGTATAATACCAAGCTAGGAGATGCCTTGGTTTCATGGGATTAGGATGGGGTATCACATTGGGTCTGGTTTGATTGTCAGGGGCGAGGTTAGAGGGTTTTAGCTTTAAAGGCATGTGTTGTTCTCATGGTTCCAATATTGATCGAATTGTTATAAATGATAATATAGAATTTATTTTCCTTTTTTGATATATAAATAGCATTATTTTTTTTTGTATCTTGGTATTATTAGCCGATATCATGTTATTGGTTTGGATATTGTAATCGACTAAAAAGGTATTGGTGCATATCTAGGGTTTTTAAAAAGCCCGATTCGGGTCAATAAAAACGACCCGATTAAAGATTTTAACCAAAATAATATTATTTATGTAAGCCTAAATATTTTGCTCATAGATGGCAGAAAGGTTTGGACCTCTATTTCCAAATCTCGAGGCTATTTAAATATTATTTTGGCTAAAATCTTAATCGGGAATATTCAAATATAATATCTGAATATTATTTTATAAAATTCTATATTTTTTTTATTCATTTGATAAAAAAATTTAATATTTTTTTTATTAAGCAAAAACATTCCCAGAGGTGACTAATTAATTTTAAAAGGGCAGGGCAATAACCTACTTAGACAAATAAGGTGTTTCTCGATAATTCTGATATTTGTCAACTGGATCTAAGTTTCATGTGTAAACAATCTGTTATTATTCCACAAGCTTAACAAAAAAACATTCCCATAATCATAAAAAAACTTTTAAATTACTTTTAGACAAATTTAAATCAGTTCATTTTTGTTTAGAAATTCCCATCAGTTTTTTTTGGTTCGCATAAGCATAGTCAAGATTTTGCCAATGGAGAGGGGGGGAGAGCACTATTGATCGATTTTTTCCTCATAAATTTTATTTAAGGTGATTACGCACCTTTTAACCGCAGTCAAAATAGGCGGCGTAAATCGAGGCACCGTTATAAATTTTTTTATAACATATTTTTTTATTTGCTAATTAATTTTATTGAAAAGAGAACTCATTATAAATTCAAAATCATTTTTATATAAAAATAATTTTATTTAAATTTTTCGGACATATTGATCCTCTCCTTGAAGTCAACGTCAACCAAACGGTAGAAGTGCTAGTTGCCTGAACATGAAGAATTCTTTTTAGCTGCAGTGGAAAGATTAGGAAGTTCGATTCTCTTTTCTCTCCAGAAATATAGAATATTCATATGTTGTGAATGACGTTTTCCGGATGGCATTCTTTTTAAATCACTTATAGTGGAATCACAATTTGTAATTGTTATTAAATGTTTAGTTACTAATTTTGTAAAATAATTTGAATTTAGTATTTTCTCTTGATTCACAATCGCTATATACTACCCTAATATCATCATACTCTATACGTTTAAACTGGTTTTTAATAAATTTCAGCGCCGAGTAATTTTGTTTATATAATTTGACACAATTTTCGATTTTGAAATAATGGTTTTAGAAGGGAATTCTACACCTTGTTTATTTTTGAAATAAATTAAATAAATGAACATACTTTATATTACTACTTTTAGATCACAAACCGGAAATCATAGCGCAAGTATTTTTTTAGTTTTTCTTTAGGATATGATTTCTGAGCTATCATTTTATTTTGAATTTATTTCAATTTCACTTTTAAAAAGTGATGCCAAAAAGATAGGTCTTTTTGTGCATATAGAAATTCAAGTGTTTCTTTAAATTTTGAGCAAAAATCTAATAACTCTTCTAGTAGATCTGATTCAAAGTTTAAGAACTTTTTAAAACGTTATTAATTAAATTTCATCTGTTCGGAACATTTAATTTTAATGTTTTCATATGTATGACATTGCTATTATATTATCATCATTGGAATGCCAATTTGAAATGGGGTATCAGGATATAGATCAGAGCTATCAATATCTAGCATATCTGATGTTAGTTCTATTGTAACTAAGCATTTTCTTTGATCTGCTTCAAACTCAAATTTAATTTCTGAAGTTTTATATCTTAAAGCAATAATAATTTATCTTATTCTTTTGATAAGATTTTCAACAAAAGTGTGCTTTATACCGCCCACTGTAGCCAGATTATGTAAACCATGACCCAAGCATAAGTGGTGTTCATATTAGCGTTATTAAATAGTTTTCTAACATTGGGTCTTCATTTAAAAAATATTAAAAATTATGTTAACTTCTGGAATTTTAGATTTTTGATTGATTGAATTCTATAATGATGTCAAAATAATTATGTTAAAATAAATATAAAATAAAAATTCATCAAAATTCTTTGACATAAAAAATTTACAACAGTGATGTTGACCAATTAAAAGAAAATATGGAAATTATTTTACAAAAGAATTATTCTGCTTTGGCCATGCCAGCGTGATTTTCATAAATCAATGTCCTTCTAAAATATTTATTCATTACCTTTACCATATTTTTTTCCTTTTGAATATTACTCGTTATCCAACATCTAGTAATATACAGTAAAACCTTTAAATGTGACCATCATTATAGTGACCATTTTGCTTCTATGCTAATGTACAGGGTTGGGCTTTAAAGGTATTTGAATTTAAATACAAAAACATTCCATAAAAGGTATTTAAATGTAAATACAAATAGCTTAGAAAATGTAATTACTAATAATAAAAAAATTTCAAAAAGTATTTAAATACAAATACTTTTATGTATACTTTTAAATTTTAGGATATTTATTGTTAATCATTTTATAAATTATGTAAATAATAATATCATATCAAAAAATTCGCTATATTTTACAATATAAGTCTATGGGTATAGCATGCTTAAATTAGCATGGAGGTTGATATTGTATTACCCATAAATTTTTGTTTAACATGAAATAAAATGTACAATTTCATAATATTTAAATTCAGAGGCAAAGATAATTTTAAAATAATTTTTTGCTTAAGACCTAAAGTAGGTTTTCTTTTAATTAATTTTCTATTTTTTGGCCCATGTAACTATAAATACTGATGTTAAAATTCTAATAAAACAAAGAAAAAAAGTTTTTTTTTCAATAAAGTTTTGAAAGTTTTCGAATTAAATTTTTTGTTATTTAGGACACAGGCTTATGATATGAATTGGACCTATAAGAATATATCCCAAAAAGTAACTTTTTTTGAAATCGCCTTAAAAAACAAATTTAACTCGGCCAGACCTTAAAATTTTTTTAATTTTTGGACTCTTTAGCTCAGGTTTTTAAAAATTTGGTACCTTGGTCCTATTTTGAAAATAGTTTCCAACAGGAAATCGGAAATATCTTAATGAATGTTTAAATGATCATGTGATTTCTCACTTAACTGACAGATACAATATATTAAATATTTTTATATTATAATTGGCTTCATCTTCTTTTTTTTAATAGGCCCTATTATTAGTTATTTAATTCTTGATCGACTCAGGTTTTATAAAAAGAAATTGGCACTTGTTTACGATTAAAACGAAATAAAAAAAATATTAAGTAAAAGGTCATCCATTTAAAATATTTAGGTAGGTAACGCACTATCGAGAGGAGTATCAGGAGGTCAAAAGCGGAGGTGTAGCATAGCAATGGAATTGGTAACGAATCCCTCCATACTGTTTTTGGACGAACCAACTAGTGGTCTCGATGCCTCAACTGCCATAAATGTCATAAAATTGTTAAAAAGGTATACCAATTAATCAATATATATTTCCCTTCCTTGCTTTTTAAATATAAATCATGTGTTCCATATTACTCTTCTCAGATGACTGCTAATTTTAAATATTAATCGATGCAAATATAAATGTTTCTCACTGTTCATTTAACTGATGATAATCTAAAATTAAAAAAAATTATCCAGTTTTTTTGAAACAGGCTACGATTAATCTCAATTTTATGGTCTATTTTGAATAAAATATTAATACACCAATACATCATTTCGTTTTTAATTTTGTAATATTAAATAGAAACTTTTCTAGTTGTTTGTGACAAATAACTATATTTTAATATTTTTGAAAATATAAATTTTTTTTGTAAATGAAAAATGGCATTCCTTTTTAAACTTTATATTTGTGTAAATATTTTTACATTATTGGACTGATTAACTTTTATGAAATTGTTTTTCTTGAAATAGTGATGGATAGTTTTGTTTTCAGTTTATAATATAATTTTTTGGTTTTTTTTATATGATCTTGATTTAATAATATTAAGTTTAAGTAAATACACAAATGCATTTATTTATATTATCTTTAATTTTTTTTATATATAGGCCAAATTTCCTCTTTAAATATATATTAAAAAATGGCCCTTGGTCTATCTATTTACTTTATAATTATATTCATTAAGATAAAATAATTTATTGAATCTCAAGGTCTACAAAATCTATTCGATGTTGACTATTTATCTAAAACAGATATAAAAGTTATACTGCTCAGTTGCGTATTTAGGATTTTGTTTCGGGAGGAGGGTAGGGGATAAAAATATTTCTAAAAACCGAGATTAGTTTTTTTAGACTGGAATAAATTCGATTATAAACAATTATTTTATTACACTTATAAAATTCCTTTTATATTTATTTTTTAAATGGGGGGTGGGGGATAAATACGCCACGGATTTATTTGTTTAAGGATTTTTAAAACTATACTTTTATAAATCATTTCGAACGAATTTCGCAATTGCAAGAGCCCAATAATTGTAGTTATGAGATCTTTTAGACATGGATTATAATTGAACTCAAACCTGGAGATGTGAATTCAGTTCAATGCAAGTGACCGAATTAGAATATTCGATTATTTTCTTTAAAAAATTCTGAATAAAGATCATTTTTATTTTAGATTGTCTGACAAAGGGTGCAATGTCATAATGTCTATTCACCAACCTCGATATGGCATCTTTAAACTATTTACAAACTTATTATTATTATCGGAAGGAAAAATTGTGTATCAGGGACCATCCGATCAGGCCTTAAATTATTTCAGACATCTAGGTATTTATATTTGAACCTTTTTTTACAATTACTAAGATATTTTATTACACTTTTATATGTAAGTGTGAATCATCACGTCATAAGACAGTGAATGGCAATAATATTATGTTTAAATATTTATTTTTTAAATCAAGGATTTATTTGCGACTTGCATAACAATCCCGCAGACTTTTTTCTGGACGTTATCGAAGAAAACGTAAACCAGAATATAGGTTTATAATTATGTTCAAATTTATACTCCAATATTTGAATTATACATGTGAGTCTTTCTAGAATAACTATTTACCGGAAACATATTCCATCATGAGATTGCCTACTCTGTGAATTTCAGAAAATTTTGCTCCACACTTTTTAGCTAATCTTAATTAGCATATTCAAATTTTTCGTATAAATTAACAAAGTACATACAAAATAATGGCGAAATTGTCTAAAATTTATAAGATAGGTTAGGTAGTATTCTACTATATTGGAATGCATTTCCAGCATAATCTGATTTTCCAAATTTAAAAATCGTCCATGTTGATGATTTAAAATTGGAGGATTCCAAAACCTCCGATTATTCCATAAAAATGTACCACATATATATGTTGCAGGTCACTAAATAATTAAGGGCATGAACTTTGACTTGAGAATTGAATAGTCAAACAATAAAATTAATGTGCATAATTAAACTAATACAAAAAGATCCCGAACAAATTGAGGACGATGAAGAGGAACTAGATCTTTCTTTGAATGATGATTACGAGTTAAAAAACAATCCAAAGCTCGATTTATCAATGGCGTATATGCAATCCGAATTTTATTTAGAAGTATAAATAATGTATAAATTATATTCGATCCAAAAACTGGCTTTTTCGTTGGGATTTATTCATTTTATCAAACATAATTATGCCTGATTATTTTGGGGTTTTATGTCCACTCAGACCAATTTTATAAGAGAGCGACCTTTTTAAAAAAATACATTCCTCACAACATCTAAAATTTGATTTAAAAAAATAATGTTTATTTTCCTAATTAAATTCTAGTAGGGCTAAGAATAATTTTATTGATTATTTCCTTTTCAGATAACTAAGATCATTAACAAAAAATTATAACAAGACAAAAAATATTACTTTTGAAGAAAACAAAATGTTATAATAAAAAATTTACCTGATTCTAAATACTTCGTTTGAAGAAAATAAAATGTTAGGAAATATTAATGTAGTGAAATGACATTTTATTCAAAAAAATATCGAATTGCTCCCTTATGAACGACCATTGAAAATTGACTAGTAATTCTCTCGCTTCAAACGGGCACTCTTAAAGTAGAACTGCAAATTCTCAAGCTCTATCTTTTTCTATTCCTCATATGTCGCTCAATTTTTTTTGTGGTTTTTTGAAGGTAAAGGGATGGAACTCTTAAGAATAATATTTCGACCAAAAATGGATATTGAATCCCATAACCATCATGAATTTTTTTAAATATTATTTTAAACAAATATATTAATATATATCCTAATAGTTAGCATTAAAATTAAAATTGATGCTCTCCAATACCCGTATAAATTCTCCGGCTCGTTCTTACTCTAACAATGATACAACCCGCTCACAAATATTGGAAAATGGTGTATTAGAGTTGACAACCGATTCAAACAAAACTCGCCTAGTAAAGAAAAAGAAACTTGCAGAAGGGATCATAAAACGCGTAGCCAATCAATTTCATAAAAAATCACTCTATCCTACCTCATTTTTTAATCAGGTTATAACGCAAAAATTGATGTGACTTATTTTACAACTGCTGATGAATTGACAGCGGATCTTAAAGATTGAGATCAGCCTTAATAATGTAACATTTTGAGCCCGATATATTTCATCGATTACTTGAAGTTATTAGGATTGTTCGATTCGCAATTCCTTTAACCTATTTGATATTTAAAATATTTTTTGAAAAACCGATCCTATTTTATAATTAAAAAGTTGCTTGATATTTATTTATTTTGATTTTAAGTTTTTGAAAATGTAATTAAAATACTCCTTTCTTTTCTTATAAAATAACTATTCCAGCTTTTCTATTTTAATTCCAAAAATGTTCTCTTCTTAATTAGAATACTAGTAGATCAAGATTGATGTTTATGGTAAAATTAATAATTTTTGAGAATTCATTTCAGATAATATTAATCTAAGTCTTACTCAAACAATGCATAATCGAATTAATTAGGATTAATTATTCATTACAGGGTTTGCCATTTTTTTCGTACAGAAACTCATTATTAGGGCACAAAATACGTAAACAACATTTTTTTATATTTTGTTCCCATAATTCTAACATCTTAGAAAAAAAATAATAAAATGTCGTTACCCTAATTTTTACCACTTTTAGAACACATTTCCATTTAAAACCATATGATTATAATTATTTACACTAAACTTATCATTTATTCAATAAAAATAGACTGAATATATATACAATTATTTAAACAAATTTCTAAATAAATTTATTTTTTTGAAATTATTTTAGGCATCAATGGTATTACATAAAAATATCTTATAAAATAATCTCGATTTTAGTAAAAAGAATTTCAACTTATTTTAGAATTAAAAGAAAATTGTGATTTTTATAGAAAAGGATACTCAAATGTCCTTATTTTTTACGAGGACAAATTTGCCTTATAAGATTTGAAAAGTAACATAGAATCAAATTCTTTTAATGAAGGATGTTTAAAATTAAGTAATTTTCTTTCTAAAAGGACCATCACATTTTTAAAAAACTAAAAGAAAATTTGTTCATTGATATAAAAATATTAATTATAAATTGCATGTGCATAATTAGTGGAACTTGGAAGGAACATATTTTATTGATGAATATTTACTTTTTATTTTTTTGAATGAATGGTGAATAAAGAAAATTAACTATCAAATTGAATATCTGTTCAAGTGAAGGATATTTTTCTCATGTGAAGGAAAATATAAACTTGCTTAGCCATGATGCCCATTAATTATTAAAACAACAATAAAATAACTTTTTTCATTTAATGACAAAGAAAATCGATTGAAATTTGCCGATCCAACTGTATATATTATATACATAGGTCATTAAGCCTTCAATTGTTGTTTTAAAATATTTTTCTTTTTAAATGTTTTATTTTTTATACAATTTTTAGATATATATATTTTTCAGTATTTATAATAAATATTATATTATTTAGTTATAAATTTATCTTTTTAAGATTATTTCGATTTTTTATAATATATTAATATGCAATACCAGTGACGCACAAAATTATTTTAAGCAAATAAATGTATTTAGTTCAGCTGATTTTTATTGAATTAATTATAAGTTTATTATAAAAAATTGTGTACATTTAATAAAGACTCGTTTTAAATATAATATATTACGTGATAATTAAGCGCCTAGTCCTATTAAGTTATACACATACAAGTATATGTACAACAGGCAACGCTTGGTTCTCTTAAATAAAAAATAAATTCTATCATATTGGATATCAAGAATTTAAGGAATTGATAATGAGAAGGACCATCCATGTTTTTTAAGCAACTTGCTATTTAAACGTCTACAGGAAGAAGGAAAGGTAGAAAAAACCCGCACCTGATTAAATAAAGGGATATCAGGGAGGGGTTTGGGTAGGTTAAGTTATTTATATTTATATATGAAGAACCTTAAATTGTAATTTAGAACAGTGTTAATATAGTTTATTAATAATTATGTAGATAACCAAGGAGAAATTTGTTAAATTAAAATATAAGCAATATTGGTATTTACTAATCGAGAGTAATATAGGAGGATCGAATAGGTATGATATTGAGGTTTGTATAAGGGGGTGGATGATGTTGTAATTCAATTAGAAAATAAATGTGTTGTAAAATTTGGAATTCAGAAAATGGGAATTATGTTTTATTATATAATTCTTTTATTTTAAACAATTTATTTATTGAATTTTTATTATTATTCAGGGAGGTGAATTGGGCTAAGCTTATGTTCAAACTCAGAATATCTTTTATAGTTTTATTTTGCAGTACGTTTTGTAATTAAAGGATTTTTTATTCTTGTATATATGAAGGCAATTAGAGCTACGCTAAATTTCGTTCAGAATTCCTCATAATATGGCCAAGGAGTTGAATTTTTCTTCTCTTAAGAGAGATATCTACTAGTGTGTTTTGATATTTTCCATAACCTTATATTTGATATTATTTTAGGATATATGTAGCCACTTATCCTTCATATGCACCTACTCATAAAGTATATTTGACATTTGTTTGTATCCCACGTATCACTTTTTTATAGAAGTATTGGGATAATCGTTGATAGGAAAATTTTATGTCTGTTTTAATTGAAATTTCCTTCGTGCGCCAAAATTTGAAATATTTGAACAAATTTAGCATGTTTCAGTCTTAATTCATTTCTTTTTTATTTGGCCTTTATTGTTTATAGTGACACCAAGATATCTAAATTCTTCTACTAATTTAATTCCCGACAAAGATAGGGGTTGGTTTGAATCTACTACAGCCCATGTAGATGGCATAATAACTATTTTATTAAAGATAATGATTAGTCCTATCTCGCCACTATACTATTTTAGTGTATCTAGCATGTTAGAAGTTTCCTCTACTTATTGTATAATCATGGCTTTATCATCTCCATAACACGGTGTGCCAGGTTTAGCTTATCATAGGAGGATAGATAAAGTAGGTTGAAGGCACCAAAGGTATTGGGAATGATTTTGTTGATGACAATATTGAATAAAATAGGTGATAGAACGCAACCCTGCTCCATCCTTTTGCGTATATAAAAGAAAGGAGAATGAGTGAACCTGACCTGGAATTTGGATGATAAATTACCAGAATGTTTACTTAAAATTTCTGTTTTTATCTACACCACTGACTGTTAAGATCCATAAGATATCATGTTTGATGCTGCCAAATGTTTTAAATCGGCAAACGTTAAAAATGGATAATTTATATCTGAAGCATTTTTATATGATGATTTTCATTGCCAGTTATTGAAAGTAAGTGCTTTGTTAAGTTTAATATGCGATTTCTTATTATGACCATAAACACTTTCGAAGCTATGGACGTGAGTGCGATAACTCTATAATCGTTTAAAGTAGAGGCATTGGAGATCTTGGGAAAGTTACAAATCAATGAGAGATTCCATTCTTTCGGAGTAAGACCCGACGCCCAAATTTTGTTAAATATGGTTAATAAGAAAACGGAGATGTAGTCCGGAGAGTGTTTGGCTTCAATTTTGTCCAGGCCCGCTGCTTTATTGTACCTAAGTTTGACTATCGTTCTCATGATCATAGGCATGGTAAAGTCCGAGTTAGGGTTTGTTCACTGGCCAAAATAGGTAACAGGGATTTTGAATCAAAAATTGTCATGTAATGATCAGGGTTGCCAGGTCAAAATTTTCAAATTGTGGGAGAAATTAGGTATTTTGTGGGAGAAATATAAAAATTGTGGGAGAAATTGCTAAAAAAAATTTTTTTGCAGGCCATTGACTTAGTTATCCACTTATTATTTTTTATAAATATAAAATCTAATCTATTTTCCAAAATAAAATAGGTAATTATTTTTCAAAATAAAATAGGTAATTATTTTTCAAAATAAAATAGCTAACTTTTTTTAAAATAAAATAGCTAACTTTTTTTCAAAATAAAATAGCCAACTATTTTTCAAAATAAAATAGCCAACTATTTTTCAAAATAAAATAGCCAACTATTTTTCAAAATAAAATAGCCAACTATTTTTCAAAATAAAATATCCAACTCTTTTTCAAAATAAAATATAACTATTTTTCAAAATAAAATATCCAACTCTTTTTCAAAATAAAATAGTTAACTATTTTCCAAAATAAAATACCCAACTATTTTTCAAAATAGGTAATTACTGTATGACACAAAATTTCTTAGAGTACTATCTTTATTATTAAAAAAACATATTGATTTATTATAATATATTAATTTTGTTTAAAAATAATAACCAACGATCTTTTTTAAATACAAAAGAATGTAAACAAGATAAAATTTTATAAAAAATTGTAATTTTACAATGTAAAAAAAAAAATGGGGGAAGGGAATATGATATTTTGAGGTATCAAAAATCTTCAAAGCATAAATCAGTACAGGGCATTCTATCAACATCTATTTCAAAACAAAAATATTCTTCAAAAATAAGAAATAATATAGATGCAACTACAGTTGCGGAAATGGTAAATACCTATCATGCAGTACAACATTCAGAGAGTTACTCACATCTCAATGTTGGTAGAATCTTTCCCCATAATATTTAACGACTAATATAAATGAATAGAATACTTTGTAGAAAAATGAGCAAGGCTATCAACAATGTTTTAGGATATAAATCCAGAAGGTCAATTCTTGACGATTTGAAAGATGTGCAAACATATGCAATTCTAACAGATGCATCTAATAAGGAGATATCAAAACATTTCCCTTGATCCTCCCCTATTTCAACAAAATTAATGTCATTTTAATAAAACTATTAAAAAAATTTTCTCCAGATATGAAATATCCAAAGACATAGCTAACCATATATAATGGTAAATATGGCAGATTTGGCATTACCAATAGAGTGTATTTACAGAATTGAGTCAGCATAATGTTGGTTGACAGGTTCCTCCTAATACGCGCTATCGTAGAATTTTAAAATACAAACCTTTAAAAAATAAATAGATTATAAAAGCTGTCCTATTTGAAAATAATTTTCAAAAATAAATGGCAGAAGTATATTTAGGAATTTTACATATAGGAAATCTACTATATGCTGTTAATATGCAGTTGCAATCAGAAGAATATAATTTAATAAAGGCTCACTAAATCTGCAGAAATACCAAAGTAAGAATATTACTATTATCGGATAATTATTAATAAGATTTAATATGATGTCATGTTTGAGGTTTGAGGAGATTGTAATGCTTCTTTATTTTTATGATTTGCCAAAATATTCAAAATATTAATTTTACAATGTAAAAAATAAATTTATTTGATTTTATGCAAATGTATAAATAAGATTTTATAAAATATAGAAAGTCAAATAGTTATATTTAATTATATTTTATATGAGATTTAAATAATGGAACTAAACGTTTACCGTCGTTATTAAGATATTTATAAAAATCCTGGCATTACATTTTATAATTTTGTTTAACCATTAACTCGGCCTCTTAGGATATCTTAAGCTTAGATTAAAGATGATTAAGATAATAATATTTTCTAAGATGAGTTCCACTTTCATTGCTAATTTTTAAAAATATTACTTCTAATATTAATAATATATTTTTTAATATATAATAGTACATAAGCAGTTTATATTGAAAATAATTTTTCTTTTTATATATTTAATTATAACATTTTATTGTCCAAAAAACAACATCAGTATTGGAAACTAATGCTTTAACCTCAAAACAATCTAAATCTCACCTAGAAGATAACTATCATGGTATATATAAATAAAAATATAAAATATGTATAATATTTAGGATTTTTTAAGCTTAGATTAAAGATGATTAGGATAATAATATTTTCTAAGATGAGTTCCACTTTCATTGCTAATTTTTAAAAATATTACTTCTAATATTAATAATATATTTTTTAATATATAATAGTACATAAGCAATTTATATTGAAAATAATTTTTCTTTTTATATATTTAATTATAACATTTTATTGTCCAAAAAACAACATCAGTATTGGAAACTAGTGCTTTAACCTCAAAACAATCTAAATCTCACCTAGAAGATAACTATCATGGTATATATAAATAAAAATATAAAAAAAGCACTAGTTTCCCATACTATTCTAACTTCAAATTTTGAAAATGTCGAATGGATTGGATTGGATGGAGAATTTAAAATTAGCGGAAAAATAAAATAAAAGAACTAGACATATTTTTCGAATAAATATTTAAAATTTATTTTAAAAATATAAAAATAATCAAATACTGTCTCTCAAAATTATTATTTATATATTAAAAATTAAAATGCTAAAAAAAAAATTGTGGGAGAAATTAAAAAATTGTGGGAGATTTTTGTGGGAGATTGTGGGAGATTTCTAATTGTGGGAGTTTTGTGGGAGTGAGATGTATGTGGGTAAACTAAAAAATTGTGGGAGACTCCCACTGATGGGGGAGGCATGGCAACCCTGGTAATGATCCAGCCATAGCTCCATTTGTTCTTCGGAATATCGTATGGTATAATTGTTATAGGCTTGCAAAACATTTTTAATTTCTTGTATGTTTCGTGTAACCTAATCGCTCTCTTAGTTCAATTTTAACTTCAGTGGTAAGATATCCATATTCTAATTGATCGGCCTCTGACCTCAATTTAGTCTTTACATACCTCTAGATGTTGAAATTTAAAATCCTCCCAACATTTTTCCAGAGAAGAATCTCCGTTAGCAAGAATAAATTGGTTTATATTTAGGGAAAGCCTAGTTGAGATAAGATGTTTCAGATTATTGTAGTTGTGTCTAATACTGGATTAAGTTTCCAAAACCGCACATCTAGTTTTTTTATTCTCCATATGTCGCTTTTGATCATATTGTGAATTTAACTATGCTATGGTTAGAGATGTTAATGGTGGTCATTGCCTTTATGTCATAGAACCAGCCGTGAATGTTAGAGAGGATCAAGTCGATCTGTGATATGTAGTTACTTCTATAGAATGTGAAGAGATGTTGTTTTTTTGTGAAAAAAATGGGGTATTCTCAAATTCTTGTTCAAACGGTATCATTGCCTATTGTGTTATTTCTGAATATAACTCCTCACGGCCTCCTTCCTGCCCATTTAATTATCGTGGTTCCAGAATTGTATAACGTATTCCCTAAAAACTGCTTTAAAATCGTTGCTCATGCAAGTCTCCTGTAAAGCATTGATACTTTATATTAAGTGAGAGACTTGTTTTTCTTGAACATTTGGAGAATGTAGTTGACTCATTCCCTAAGATTTATAATTTAGTTATTGTAGGAGATTTCAATATCAAAGTAGGCTGTGAGGAGTTGTATATCAGAAACAACAAAATAGGCAATGCTACCTTGAAAAACAAAAACAAGGCTGACGGTAAAATATTATTACTGTCACAAGAAATAATATCTCTTCACATTCTATAGAAGTAACTACATATCACAAATAGACTTGATCCTCTCTAACATTCACGGCTTGTTCTAGGCCGTAAAAAAATGACCATCATTAACATATCTGACCATAGGATGGTTAGGATTCACATAATGATCAAAATAGACATATGGAGAAATAAGAATACCAGATGTATGATGTTCGAATTAAATTGGAAAAAAAATATTGTTTACGTATTTGGTTTTGAGTTCGAAAACAACGGCAAACTATGATTTATGAATATTTTATTTAAATCATATAAAATTAAATTCAAAATATCTTTATTTTCTAATTTTTTATAAAAATATATTAAAAATTAAACAAACTTGTTATGAAAATTGCTATGCCAGCTTATTACACAATTATTTTAAAAGATCGGATCGGTTTTTAAATGATACCAGGCCGATCTGATCTTTCCCGAAATTGACCAATTCGGACTACCCTGATAGTAGTTAGATTTAAAATAAGGTTCGAGTTAGATTCATAAAAAATTTAAAACGTGCAGGTTCGATAACAAGACATGGAGTTTTTTTGGCACACTTTTTAATCATACGATTCTACTATATCGGTTTCCAAAATTTAAATATTCTACACAAATTTTTTATATATTTAAATTAAATTTTATCTTTATCTTATAATTGATATTCTAAACAAAACCGATTTAGTTTAAAGTATTGACGAAGAGGACAATAATCAATTACGCCAGGAATCCTCAAATCATAATGTGGCATGTTATTTAAATGTTTTTAATACTAAAGTAAAATTCCTTATTAGGCAATAATTATGCTTCTATATTCATTAATGTTGGGGTGGATATATTTTCGAATGGACAAATCTGCCAAATTTGGAATTCAAAATAGGTTAGAAATATCAATTATGTTTTTTCATATTATCGATATACTTTTTGTATATTTGGTAGTGGGTTCAAATAATGGGTCTGGATCGGACAACCAATATTTAATTTTCTTTGATATCCTATTTTATGTGCTTAGACTTGTTTGGCAATATAAAACACGTTACAGTAATAAAATTCTGTTTAAATTTTATTGCCTTTAATCTTTGGTTTTCTGGAAATACTGTTTTTTGGATACTAAATGCTATGATTACCTACGAAACATCCCTAATTTCTGTTACTATTCTTTAGATATTCTGAAATTGGGGTTTAAAGTCCACTTTCTGGATCGAGCCCTGCTATTTGATCCCATATCAGGTTTAGACTCATCTTATAATATTATTATTTTCGTTTTAAAATTAAATTTTACAAATTGATTTTAAAAAACTTTTGCAGGGTTGGTGCCTTGTATTTTATACTGATGAATGAAGTCTTCATATCTCTCTCAGTTATAGACATATTTATTTTGGAAAGATCTACATTCCTGTAAGTCTTTTATTACTTTATAAATATAATGATTTAAAAATTAATTAATTAGTTACGAAGTTAGTAATGGCTTTTACAGAATCTCCATGTACTTCCTATCCAAAGTTTTAGGAGATTTGTTAATTATGAAAGTTATTTCGGTTTTTATAGTCTCTTTAGTCGCCTATTGGATGATAGGTAAAAACTATTTTGATATTATTAATATATAGAGGGCGGTGAAGCGAACAATTTATTCAAAATAATTTTAAATGCCGGGCCGAAAATCCCGATAAAGAATTTCCACGGTTCGGGCCAGCCGACATCTAATTATATTTATTCAATATGAGTTTCAACCTGATCCCCTCAGATTTTTCTAATTTTTTTTACTAGAGATTGCATATAGTCTAAGAAAAAATAAAATCTTAATCTCCAACTTCAAACTACGGCTGAGATAAGACCCTTTAATTATCGAAAAATGGGCCATTTTGGGCAAAAGGCATGCCCTTTAATTTTAAGTATCTGGATATAATTAAGCTAGAAGCTTCATTTAAATTTCTTCATATAGTCTCATGGTTGGCCTTTAAAGTAATATAAAATATCAAAAACCGTAAATGATTATATAATTAAATTGGCATTTTTTTTCTCTCTCAAAAGTATAGCTATAGTATTACATAATAAATTTACAAAATTTCAAGTTGGACCGAGCACATATTTAGATAATATGGTATTTTGATCATTTGTCAATTGTAAAATTCTTTATAAATATTTTATATATCATTAATTGTAATTTATTTAAGCCAAGCTTTTAAATATTTTATGTATTTAAATAAAAGTTTGAAGAAGATGTGGGGAGGGGGGGGGGTCATTGTTAATTTGTGTAATATATTTACTTCATTCCTAAAATTTATATTTTTTTTCAATTTTGATAAACATACACGTTATGAAGAAAATTAATTCCTTGGATGATATATCAAAATAAATCATTAACAATTAAAAACACAATTCCTTCAACATTTCACGAGGAATATATTAATGTTGCCTTTGCCAAAAACTTACCATTAATGGGCGAGACATAATTAAGAAGTAGAGATATCATATTTAAAATAATTGAAAATCAAAAAAATTATCAAGATATTTGAAAATTATTCCGGAAGATAATTTTGATATTAACGATGAATGTGAAATTATTAATAAGCAATTGAAAAATAAATTTGAAACAATACATTCTCAGAATGAAAAAAATTCAGAAATAAGACAGTTTTACTAAATTCTAGGACCCTAAAAACATGAAGAATTTTTTTACAACTGAGAAAAGGGTGTTTTATCAATCTAAATATTACAAAAACTGGGAGTTTTTCGAATATTATAAATATAATTGGAAAATTTCATAATTTCGATTGAAACAGTCGTGTGCCTGGTAAAAACAGTTATCAATATAGGTAAAGGGGTCATTCCATGTCAAATCAATCACTTTTCGGCCGACCCCTTTCGATTTTGATGAAAAATCGTAGGCTGGTTATATATGTTCCCATTAGATTAGAAACAAAATTTTAGCGGATTAGCAACTATATTAGCGGAGATATTCGGGGTTAAAGGTCTAAAAAACGTCTTTTTTTGCTTTTTACTGATGTTAAATAAGTAGTTTTTAATTTTAAACTAAATATGATCAAATATTGAATATAATATCAATAGCTAAGTTAATAATTTATGATTATGGCAAAAACATCAAAATTAATTTTTGATAAAATATGGGTCATCTTATGGTCAGTTGAAAACTTGAAATTAATATTTCGAAATGTATATGATCTCCGATTTTTAATTTTTTTAAGAAATATTATCCGTTTACTATTTTTTTAATAATTTCTTCAACAATTAGCATGGCTGAATATTTATTTTAAAATTTATTGCGATTTTTATACTTTAGAAAAAATAGATGGCGCTATATATAATAGTTTTAATATGTTAAAATTCATTTTTTTATTGATTAAAAATATTTTAATGTATATATATCATACTAAATCGATTACAATGTCCATTATATATATTTATTTGTAACAGATCATAAATTTTTAAAATCTTCACAAATTTAGCCTAATTAAGATAGTTTATAAATTAATTAAATCTTACTTCATCTAAAGGAACACAAAGCCTGGCTAGCTTGTGAGATTTCTTCAGAAGATAATATATATGTTCGACCGGTGGGAGTAGAAGGATTGACCAGTGAAAGAATATGAGATTTAGGTAACACTAAAATATCATTCAGGGGAAATTTAAATGAGGCTGAAGGTCCACAAGGGTGTAAAAATCGGATTTTTACTTCTTCATTTGTATCATATTTATCGATTATATATCCTAACCACCATTTATCATCATATACACATGTTACATATCCATTAATATTTTTAAATATAATTTTTTCATTTAAAAACGAAACTTGTTTTATATTATATTTTTTAGAATTTGAATATATTTTGGTTTTTAGTCTATTTTGATCAATGGGAATAACCCCGTGAATTTTTAAGGTCCCATGTATGGGCGGCGCAGAATTAAATCTTTTGCGAAGGGCTAATTCCCCTTCGATATATTCTTGATTGGATATATATTCAAATTGAATTCCATTAATATTTTCTTTAGCATAATTATATAATTCTAATGGGGTTAGGATTTGATTTTTATTTGGTTTTTGAAGACTAGCTCTGGCAACTAATCTTTTGACAGTTCCCCCGATACCGTCACATGCATTTTTGCCGTGAGCAGTGGCAAAGAAATGCCATTCGGCAGGAATATTAAAATCGTATTTATGAAGACATATGTTCAGAAAATTTTTGCGATTCTTGTATTGAGACGCGGCTCCATCTGAAAAATATATTATTTTTTCTGGTTTAGAATTAAATTTGGCTGTTAAGAAATTAATAAATTTTTTTTGGTAAAGGTGGACTGCACTGGTATTATGGTTTAATGATTCGGATATAATAACAAAATTTATATTTTTTAAATCTTCTCCAGATTTATAATATGCTACAAATGGATGTATAGTGTCCTGCACGTTGTTCCAATGAAATCCCTGAACTTCATCTTATTAAATGAAGGAATAATTTTCAGAATAATCTAGAATTGTTAAAAATTCCCCATCTTTTAATTTTCTTTGGAATTCTTCAAAAATAAACTTTGTTGTTTAGCTATAAACGAGTGACGCAGTAAAATTTGAACTTTTTCTAATAAATAATCGATGAAATCATCAACGGACTTTATAATAGTTTCAAGATTTGTTCTATCCACCGTGATCCATTGTTTAAGTGACATATTCTATACGATTTCTCTGAAACAATTGGTATAATTGTCCCTTAAGAGATTCTATACCAGGGCATTGATCACAATTTGTTAAATAACATTTTGGCTGAGATGGATTACAAATAATTTGCGCCAATAGATAGTTGTAAGAATTTATACAGTAATCTTCTCCTGCTGTAATTTCAGCTATTACATTTGTCATTAATTTCACATTCTGATGAATAGCGCAGACACAAACAGTGTGTGTGCCACTAGCTCCAACTAAATACAGTTTTTTGGTCTAAGTTCGGCAAATTTAGAGAATCCTATTGATATATTTGGGTATTCTTCCTTAAACATCTTGAATATTTCTTTAAGATTATTTAATATAAGTCTTTTTTGAACTGGTTCTTTCTCGCCTTTAACAGATACACAATCTTTTATTCCTGGCATGAGTCGGCTTATTTCATCAGAACTATAAAAATCCTTGACGAGTTTAAATGTTTTTTCGTTTAGTGTCTTTCCTGCCTTATGTTTTGGAAATGAAAGAATTCCACTTTCTTTTACCATCATTTTAGATTTTCTTGCCATGTATGATGTTACGTTGAATTCCTTTTGAATTTTATTTACACTCCATCTTTGAGGCAAAATTGTAAGAATTTGATATTGTTGATTTTTTGATAATTTATCAAAGTTATCCTTTAATATAATAAGAATTTCCTCTTTCATTGGACTATCAATCTCGGAATCAGATATTTCTAAAACCTTAATCTTTATTGCTTTTTCAATCTTTTGAATTTTATTTTTAGGATATTTTTTCTCCATTAAACGTTTTCTTTTAATTGGTGATTCTCCAATATTGTGTAATGTTTCATTAATCGATTCAAAGGCATCCTGATTATGGGTTATTGGGGATATAAATTCTTCGGGAATGTGTGGACCAATTTTACTTAACTGGTATCGGCACGAATTACATATTTTTTGTTGAAGATATAAATGATTATTTATATTAAGCATCCATGGAAGAACTGATCTTAAATTTTTTTTAAAATTTTTATGATTCACTTTATTCAGTGGATTGCAACATTTTATCTTATCTTTTAACGGTTTCATTTAAAAAAATTTATTTATTTTTAAACGACAAGTAAAAATATTTATATGTAAAAGATATGAATCGGTGTTTGTGAAAAAATATTAAAGAAATCAATTTGTATTTTTAGCAACTGTGATTTATCGATTAAATTCGCTAATTAATTTTGCTAATCAGTTTATTTTTAATAATTTTAAGAAAAGATAAAAACAGCTGACTTACTTTTATTAATTTTTTCAGTGTTAAACATATGCTCAAAATTCAAAGACTTTGATCAAAAATTTTATAGAGAATGCTCAAATTTATTTGATACCCAAAATTTTATAACTAGTTTTTTAAAAATCTTTGAAATTTTCTGGTTAATGACAATTTTATAACATTCTTGGTCTTGATGGGTATGACTTAATCTGGAGGGGGGGGGGGTGGGGGGTAGTTGGGTAATTATATGATTTTCGATTTTTCCCTTAATAATTTTCCTGCACTCCTTTAATACTGCTTTTTTGTTCGCATGTTAGTCGGATTTTTTAATTATTTTTAATTTACATTGAAATATTAAAAAAATTATTAAAATTTTTTATCCTGCGAATATCTCAGGGGAATAAGGTTTACAAAGTTATATAATCGAATTTTATGATATATTATACATTAAAATATTTTTAATCAATAAAAAAATAAATTTTAACATATTAAAACTATTATATATAGCGCCATCTATTTTTTTTTAAAGTATAAAAATCGCAATATTTTTTAAAATAAATATCCAGCCATGCTAATTGTTGAAGAAATTATTAAAAAAATAGTAAACGGATAATATTTCTTAAAAAAATTAAAAATCGGAGATCATATACATTTCGAAATATTAATTTCAAGTTTTCAACTGACCATAAGATGACCCATATTTTATAAAAGATTAATTTTGATGTTTTCGCCATAATCATAAATTATTAACTTAGCTATTGATATTAGATTCAATATTTGATCATATTTAGTTTTAAATTAAAAACTAATTATTTGACATCAGTAAAAAGCAAAAAAAGACGTTTTTTGGACCTTTAACCCCGATTATCTCGGCTAATATAGTTGCTAATGCGCTAAAATTTTGTTTATAATCTAATGGGAACATATATAACCAGTCTACAACTTTTTATCGAAATTGAAAGGGGTCGGCCGAAAATTTTGATTTTTTTGTTCATTTGACATGGAATAACCCAAAGGAGAGAACCAATTGAAGAAAAAACTTATTTTATTCAAAGAAATATTCAAATTTTAAAGAAACTCATATTTATTTAAAGAGCTTAGTAAATTTGCAGTTATAAGTCCAATTTTTTAATAAATTTTCTGATGGTGCAGCAACTAAATATAAGAATAATATTCATAAGAAGCCATATTCAACTTGATTTTGAAATCAAAGCGAAATGACATTTCTTTGTACATTATTAAAAGACTAGCAGACAGAGTTACCTTCAGCATCCATATGAGGATTAAATATCAAAGACCTTAGATTTATTAAATTTTTGTAAAGCAAATGTCACTGGAATTAATTACTCAAAGAATATCAAAAAAATTTCTATTCAAAGGACCAGGCCCATTCCTGGAGTACAAAAGTTTTATGCTTTTATGCCTCTTAGGAATAATTAATTTGAAGTTAAATTATATTCATATGGTAAAATTATTTACATTATATAAAAATTAAATTTTGTCTTCAATAAAATTATAAAAAAATTGATTTGTATTTTATAGTTATTTTTATTTGGAGAGAAATTCATCATGTAAATTGACAAAACCCCTCTTCCCTTCTCCCCAATGCTTTTACAGATCTAAAATAACTTTTTTAAATATTAAAATAAAATACTTGATAGCTTAGAATTATATTACAATTAATGATTTATCAAATATTTATTAATAATTACAATTGACTAATGATTAAAATACAATGCTAAATGTGCTTGGTCCAACTTGAAATTTTGCATATTTATTAACTAATCCTATAGCTATATTGTATTAGAGATCTGACGAGCCGAGCCTACTTTTTAAAATCGGGTTCGGGCTGGGTCGGGCCTTATATTTTTGAAGAAGATTCGGGCCGGGTCGGGTTGAGCCTTAGAATTTTTTTAAAATATATCTAAATTTATCAATTTTATGTTGAATTTTTTATGTAAAATAAAAAATATTTGATTTTATTTATAGAAACTAGACGCCATATAACATATATCGTTTAATTTGAGTAATTATAAAAATTAATTTCTATATTTAAATAAATTCGGGACGGTAAATTTTTTCAAAAAAAATTTCCAGCAAAACTTTTTAAAAAATTTCTGGCCGGGCATGAAAAATTAGGCCTGATGCAGATCACTATATTGTATAGCTATTTAAAAAATTTAAGAGAAAAAATAAATGTTTATTTATGATGATTTCCGGTTTTTGACATTTAAATTTTTCAAACAATATTTAACATTATATTATAAAAGTCTACCATATAAAAAAATTTAAATTAGCTTAATAATATCCAAAAATATCTAAAATTAAAGGGAATGAATTTTGCCCAAAATGCCCTATTTTTCGACAATTAGAGGCTCATATCTCAGCCGATGTTTGGAGTTGGGAGGGTGAAATATATAGGAAAATCTGAGGGGGTGGGGTTAAACCGAGTTTTTTGTAAATTTGTCATGGAATTATATGTTGTTCATATATATAACGCAGGTTTAAGAGCCGAAATTTCAGCTTATCTAACATTTATTGTTACCCTGTTTATTGTGTCATCATCATCCAATTCGGTAGCTTATTTTTGCAGCGCCACATTCAAAAATGGGACCATAGCCAATAATTTATGTAGCCTTTTATTCGTATTCATGATGGTAATAAATTATTTAATATTCATTAAAATAATTGTTCATATTATATTGCTTACATTTTATTTCATATGGTAACCCTTTTAACTTCCAATTTTATCACTTTCTTCCAAATTTTAAAAATTTAAGATGTCCTAGTGAAATACATAATTGCGCAATTTTTTTTGCCTCCACGAAAATGTGGCAACTCCATTTTTCACTAAATAAAATTAATTGAATTATTTTAATAAATTAAAAAACTGATATAAAATAAGGTAATCCAAAATTTCATATTAATTAAAATTTAATACGAAATCTATTCCGTAATTATTTCGCTCTGTTTCTATTATTTATATATTATTTTAATACTTTGATCAAAAAAATCGCTAAAATAGCTCGTTAGGACGTAGGCTTACAATGTTTATCAGTTTTAATCTGGGACCTTTGACAAAACGTTGCAGAGCGTCTTGAACAGAACTTTGAGTAAATTTATGGGGCGGAACCGCTACCTCCCCGGAACGCTCCTAAGAATATATTAAAATTATAATATGGAAATAAATGTTTTATTTCAAAATTTTACTTAGTTTTCTTTAAAATATTTATATTGAATTAATGAATAAAATTATAATTTAGTAAAATAAAGTGTAACAAACTTTTAAAAGATAATATTAAATAAAAAAAAATCAAATATGTAATAATATAAAAATCTTATTATAAACGAATAAAATATCACGGCCAACTATTTTTTAATGAGTTCCCCAAAAGAAGCCATGGTAATTTTTATTATCTATTAGTAATTGTTAAATTAAGAGATAAAAAATATATAAATTCGAATTGCTTCAATAATTCATATTAATGATTATAAAGATTAATGAATAAATGTTTTGATATAAAATATATTAAATCATATTTTTCTAGGAACGTTCCATAACGGAACATTGTTTAATTGCGAATTTTTGAGTATCATTGCAATCTAAATATAAATGATAATAAAATAATTAATATAAATTTTACACAATAGCAGAATTCATGGTTTCCTTTATTCATAACTATTAATTATACAATAATAAATTATACAGTAAAAACATTATAAAATTAAAGTTAAAAATAAAAATTAAAAGAACTAAAATAATTAAAAAGATTAAAAATATAAGCAAAAAAATAAAAGTGAATAACTCAATTGTTAAACCTTTAAAGTATGAAATAACTACAATTATCACGCGTTTTCATCTCATTTATATAACAAACATTTTCAAATATATAAAAAAAACTTTAGCCAAAATAAATTATATATAATTAGCTTATAGATAGCCCGTCAAGAATGACAGGGAATCAGAATTTTCTCATTATGGATAAATACATTTTACCTTCATTTGACGATGGATGAATTAGAATAGTCAAATGAGAGGAATAGATTATCCGCATTCATTTCTTCCAAGATTTTTATAAATTTTTAGGAGATAAGGCGAAAATATGGAATAAAAAAAATATGATTTGTGATTTATGATATTTATCAATTCTTTTAACAAATTTTCCACATCCAGACGCAATGGTTTTTGCCTTTTCACTTCGTATAAAATCTATATTCATCTCAAAGAATCATTTAAAGGCTTTTAAAACATTCCTAAATATTCTTTTAAAAAAAGACCTGCCATCATAGATTCGAATCAATTATGGGGGCAAACCTGATTATCTCACAAACACTGTGGTTATCCACTCCATTGCAAAGGTCAAAACCCAGGGTTTCAACTTATTAAGTATACGTATCAATTAGGATTTGGTGTTAAGGGAGAAGGCAAAATAGCTTCACATGCTATTTGTAATATATCCACATCCTCCTCCTAACATGGCTATTATCAAAGTAGACTTTAAAAATACTTTCAATAGCAAATTTCATGAACATTTCACAAATTGTTTTTCCCAAATTTCCTGTTTATTCAAAATTCCTAGAGACATACTGTAACATTAAAACTCTTTTATTCAGCCCACAAGTCATAGATTCTGAAGAACGTTATTTTACCTTGATATTGATTATCTCATCCATTATCTTAAATCAAAATTTGATTTGGATATAAATTTTTGGTAACTTGATGATGGAATAATCTGTGATGCTCTTCCTAAAATATTAACTTTCAATTTCTTGAAGCAATCCAAATCCAAAATCTGTTTCCATGATAACAATATACAAAACCCTCATCTAACAAGATTAAATTTTTTATTGAGTACAGAAATAATAAAAATTAAAAAAATAAGGAAATTAATATAATAAAAAAAAATGTATATTCAAACACGTTCCAAATATTTGTTCATATTGTATGCAATAAGTGTATATGTATATATATATACTTCATTAACATTTATAAGAATAATGAAATTTTGGAATTAACTCTCAGGTTCCATGTCAAATGAACCTAAAAAATGAGATTTTCGGCCGACCCCCTTCGATTTTTTTAAAATTCGGTAATCAAAGAAAGGTTAATGTAGTTAAGAAATAGCCAAAATTTTAGCCTCGTAACATTTATATTTTTGGAGATATTAGGTTCAAAGTGGCAAAAATGACGTATTTTTACCATTATCTGCCTTCATTCAATTAAGCATATCTTAAAAACTACGTAATTGTAAATAACAAATTTAATATCAAAATTACGTACAAAGATTATACTTTTAGATAAAAAAAAAATTTATATTTTTTTTCCAATTTCCGGTCATTTTATTTAATATGCAAGGACTAAAAACGATTTTTTGGAAATAATACGACCTTCAATTTTTTTAAAAAATTTAGTAGACATTACTAACTCTTCCTTTATATTATTGGTCTGGGATGCGGCTATCTTCATTTTCAAAATCGATAAAAATGTTTAGAAAAATATATAAATATTTTCCCGAAAGGGGGCGTCTTTGTATAAAATTATATATTAATCAGTTTTTAATGGTTTTTCTTGAACCATTTGATATAATTTAAAGGATTATTCATCTTGTAAGTGAAAATAACAATAAATGGGGCTTTCATTCAATTATAGAAATTGTCTATCGATAAAAGAAATTCAATTTATTACTTTATTTATAATTTATTATAAAATTTTTGCTCATATAACATCTATTTAATGAATATTAATAAAATATGTCCAACCAAGTTTCGAGTTCTTGATTATATGAAATCTTGTACATTTCATATATGATATAACGTCAAAAATAATATAAAAATTTTCGCTACTCAATTTTTTTGAAATAATTTGATATTTTTAAAATATTACAAATATGAATTTATTATTATTATGAAATTATTATATACAAAATAAAAGTATTATCTTCATAAAATAACCCAAATCAATATAAATATTGGATCGGATTTTCTAAAATCGGCATACCCTTACTTGTAAATAAGAATAACAATAAATGAGTGCAATCAATAAAATAAATTTATGGGCAAATGTGATAATTGACAAGGGCCAACACATTTACGCGATCAAATAGAAGTATTGTTTCGTTCTAAGGACATCAAATTTATAATGTACAAATAATCGCTATCCGTAGATAGAACCACTATTGAAACAATAACCAAGCCAGTAGATGAATTTATCAATGCCTTTTTTGAAAAAATGGAATCTTTATTATCCCATTCTTTTATTTCAACGCAATAATCGTTGTATTAAAACAATCTAAAATTGAACTTATACGAAAGCCAATATTAAAAATCGCATAAAATGTGATTTTTCAGAAAACTATAGCTTTATACTTCAGGATGAAGTACAATTATTATTGGAATAAGGCTTAATCTATTGTTCACCCACCCTTTTGTTATATATTATAAAGATAATTTTGCCAATATTTGTTACCTAAATTATGTAATGAAATCCAAATGTACATTATTTCCAAAAAACATTGGTAAATTTTTTAATTAATAAAATTTGTATGTCAAATAAAATTTTTTATTTTTCCGATGGATCCCCTGCACAGTATAAAAATCGTAAAAAATTTACATATTTACCATGAGATGGATTTAGGGGTACAGGCGGAATGACATTTTTCTGCTACAGCACACGGGAAAAGTGTTTGTGATGGGATTGGTGGCACTGTTAAAAGATTAGCCTCTAGAGCTAGTTTACAAGGCCTTACTCAAAGCTAATTATCACATCATATGAATTGTACGAGTTCGCTAAAGAAAATATTTATGGCATATATTTTGAATATATGACCCAAAATAATTATGATTCCGAAAAACTATTACTCAGGGAAAGGTTTTCAAACTAGACCTATACCTGGAACACAGAAAATTTACACCGAGATTCCAACAGGTCTACATCAATTTAAAAGTAAAATGTATTCCAATTATATAGAAAGCACAGAGTATTTATCATATAATTATGAAAGTATAATTTTTGGAGAAATATCAGGATACATAAGTGTGTTTATGATTCTAATTGGTGGTTAGCTTGTGTTTTAGGGAAAAATTAAAAGCAGGAAGAAATATATATAAAGTTTTACACCCATCCGGACCTTCTGATTCCTTTACATTTCCAACTATAGACGACACTCTTTACAATGTTATATCTTAACATTAGTTTCACCGTAAACTGCTACTGGCCGTAGTTATACATTGTCGTCACAAGAAAGTAAATGCGCTACCGAAAAATTAGAATTTTTTAAAAGTGAGTTATATAACTATAGACGACACTCTTTACTTTCCAAAATGTCATATCTTAACATTAGTTTCACCGTAAACTGCTACTGGCCATAGTTATACATTGTCGCCACTAGAAAGTAAATGTGCTACCGAAAATTAGAATCTTTTAAAAGTGAGTTATATATTAGATTTTTAAATTTATATTATATCAATTGTTTTTAATATTTAGGGTGCCATATATGAAATGTACAAGATTCTGATTCATATATTCAAGAACTATAAACTTGGTTGAATATATTTTATTAAAATTCATTAAATATATGTTAAATGGGCAAAAAAATTTATAATAAATTATAAATAAAGTAATAAATTGAATTTCTTTTATCGATAGACAATTTCTATA